GTGTTAAGTATAGTATGATGAGGGTGTACTGGTTCCTTCAACAGAGGCCTGCAATTACCTTTGTACAGTTGTTCCTTTTACCCTCTTCATGCAAGATAATGTTGGAGGCTCTCATTTTATGAATGCATGTAAATTTTTTATATTATTATTATTATATTTTTTATTATGGAATGTATTAGTGCAGTTCTCAAAGGCCAGTTACCTTAATGCAATGAACGGAGGCCTTTTCAAGTAACTGTCTAGGCACCCTGGGCCACCAGTGCAGAGAACACACTGGTTAACTCAAGAGGACAGCCCTATTGATGGATATGTTTGTTTAGAAGTATTGCGAGGTTTCCAGTTTGGTAAAATCAGGAATTGTAAATCAAAGATGATAACGGTGAAACCATAAATTCTGAAAATCTAAATCCTATTATTTATGATGTTAAATTATAATTTATCAGATGGAAATAAGTACCATAAATATTTATGTGCATTACATTTAATTATAAGTAATGATTATGTAAAAGTTTTTGTGGTATTCTGTAATAACAAGAACCTTCCCTGAAGAATTATGATTATGTGAATTCTCAAACAAAAAGACTTTGGACTGAAATGCTGAAAATTCAATAGGACTTTAAAATTAAAATTTTTATTTTAAAAAAATTGATATTTATAAATTATACTTTACAGGACAAAAAATTTTATGATTTATTTATTTTTATTTATTTATTTTTTTTTTTTTTTACATTTGCTAGTGTTTTAACTCTTTCTCTTTAAAAAGGCTTCTGTGTCGCTACGCCTTTTTCTTTTTGAAGGGGGGAAATATGTAAGATAATAATGTATGAATCAGAATTATAATATAACTATAAACATTAATTCTTCCTCGCTATTCTGAAATCGTAATAACTTCTCTGCATTGCCTCATTCAAATTAATCATGCGATCTTACGTAACCGTTAATACCGGATGCCTCTAGACGACCAATCACCGAATTGTAAACCAAAACTTTTCTCTTCGTGTGCTTCCATCTTTCATAACTACGCACTTCAGCTTTTGCTCTCTACTGTGCTAAGATGTAAATTTCGCTGGCTTGCTTTCTATCTAAAAAATATCAAAAATGTAAATCTTCTGTGAAAAGGCACGACTAGAGTGCCAAGTGATTGTGGCCACAAATATCAATTGGAAATAAAAATGGAATTAAAACTGCTTCGACTGCCAAGTTCTTTAGATATTACCAAGTTAGCATTCTAGCATACTATGCAATCAAAATTTTCTTCAATATGGGTCTAATCACGCATCGACACTGCTCTGGCTTTTTCTTGTGATTTTATTATTACATATATATATATATATATATATATATCCACTCTGTTACTTGGCTCAGTGATCTCAGTTTCTTTATTCTTATGTTTGTAAATTGTAAATTTTTTGTTGAAAAAATGATTTAATTATGTTGTTCTTATCTTCCGGTTAAGGTTTTCATGCCTTTAGTAAATCTGTATGCAATATTTGTAAAATTATTAACAATTTAAAAGTTGTTTAAGTGCAGCTAGGCCTAATTATTTTTGCCATGGCGGCTATGTTTGTTTACATTTGAAACTTTGTCAGAATAGTGATTTGTGCCAATCTAGAGAAACTAAGCTTCACAACAACAAAGATAATGCCTTCTTTTATTACTGGGAATTAAATTATGCTTAATGCATTCTGGAATTTATTCGAGGAAATAAGTTTTTAAGATTTTATTTCATAATTTTTAGTATAGAGATATTTTGAGTTTTTGTGTATTTTAGCCTTGTAGAAAAGTGAGGATTGAATTAATTGAATGAGAAATACTGAATCCTCTGTGAAAAACTTTTTTTTTGGGGGGGGAGGTTTGTTTAATTTCTTTTATACATCATTTTAGATTTATTATAATATTTTAACAGAACATGTGGCAAAGATTAGGTAATTTTTTAGATGATATAAATGCATTCTTAGTTATAAAACGAATGAAATGTAACGCTGTTAAGAGAACTTAGCGTAGCGCCAGAGTGTCACTATGGTAAACAAATATAGTGAATTTTAAAGAATGCATTTATTCTATTGTGGTTCGCGCACTATCGACGAAGTAGACTTAATTCAATCCAATAAGTTTAAACAAAATGCAAGAAAAAATTTGTATAATTTAATATTCCGTACAAGGAAGTCATGTAGGTACACATCAGATTTTTTTTTTTTTAACATTATGTTAAACTATACTGGAAGTTCACGGCTTATAATAATGAAAAAAAATTAGAGACAAGTTTTATTAATAACATTACCATATTGTGACATGTACTGTAAAATTATAGTATGGCATTCTCAATGTTTCGATGTGACATTATTCAAAATACAAAAGAAATTTAAACACTTCCCAAGAATAAACTATATTTACATAACTTTCAAAATAGAACCTATCTTTATGATTCAAATTTTTTATTGCTCTAAAATGCTGAATAACAGTTTGATATTGCAATTCTGAAGATTAAACTTTGTAGACCATCAAATTTTTTCTTAGATATTACACGATATTTGTTGTAAACTAGAAAGACTGCAAACTTTTCTTGCATCTGGAGGCTTTCACACTAATATTTACCAGAAACAATTTTAAAACCTGTTTCTTTAAAAGAAGTTCTTATAGAAGAAATAATCCAGTGATTGTTTTTCTTTTTTCAGCAAAGAAATGTCACTGAAGTCTACAGTGTTACTGTTAGTATTTACAATAAAATTTGGACATATCTGATTTGTGCTATCCTTTACATCAGTAAGTCACCATGCCCCATTTGCAAACATTTGAAAGGATTGCCTTGTTTCTTTGCCATTCTTATTGAAATGGCATAGTGAGATTGAACATAGATGGAGCCTTGTTTCAATGATCATTTCACATTTTTCCAATTAAAGAGACAGCACAACTTCCTTCATTCTGTGTGTGGACAATCACTAGAAATTTAAGCACCTTGCTTTTAATCTGTAACTTTACCACGACATACAAGTAACAAGCAACAAAGTATTTATTATTTTTTTTTTTACTATCCACAACTACTGTCTGAATACAGCACTATCTCTAAACTAAGCATTTTGCACATAGCTATTTTTACTTCCAAAACATTTAGCATGGATGTCCAATTCCAATTTTCAGCTTCGTGTCATAGATAACAGTAGACATCAGTAAGACTGTTTTTTCCCAAATCTCAAATTGTGAAGTTGTAGATGGATTATTTAAAATAAAATGATTAAATTTCTCCATGCAGTGTGGGCAGAGCTGCTTGCAAATTAAAATATGATACATGAAATGAGAGATTAATGCAGTTTTATCAATTTCCTACAGCTCATAATAATTATTCATCTTCTTCACTCGCATAAAAGACATTAGAAATATTTGCTCTTTCCAAAACACTACAATAATGGCATAATTTGAGATGGACTACATATGGGAATTAAGTGATGACTACATATGGGAATTACATATGGGAATTAAGTAATTTGAGATGGACTACATATGGGAATTATTCTTTCCAAAACACTACAATAATGGCATAATTTGAGATGGACTACATATGGGAATTAAATCAACTCAGCAAATGTCGGCACAGCTCAAGAACGGTTACTGCTTATGAACAGAATATGCAGTGCTTCCACTAAGCATGTGTTACTAACTAAGAAGTGTCAGCATTGCAGCGATCTAAGATAGGATACCAAAGAATGCAACAAAAACACTAATGCCATTTGTTAGTGTGGTAATGAACTAAAATATGTGCTAAAGCTGCTGCTGCAAAGAAGACTATTTTACAATGTTGGGAAAGGTTATAATTCAAAATTTGCATTTTTCCAGTTGTGCCAACACTGCAATCCATGAACACTACATATAATTTGGATTTATCTCACCTTAAAAGTATTTAAAATGCAAAAGGCAAGGACTAGTTCTAAATAATAGCATGACAAAAATGTTTGCTAAAACACAGGTTATATTATGAAGAAAATATCATATAATTTTATAATTAAATCATATAAATTAAATATCTCAATTTTATACTGCTTTCAAAGGTCGAAACTCTTCACCCAACAAAATTTATAATAAATAACTTTTAGACTTTTTTTTTTTTTTTTACTTTTTCATATTTCTGTTTACTACAAATTATTATACAATCAAACATGATTTGTTTAATCATCAGTTATAAAAATGATTATGATTAGTTAGAAAAACTTTACTAGCAATATATTCCTTATGTGTGTATATATATATGTAAGAAAAATAAAGAAAATGTAAAAGATTGCATTAACAGCATAAATTAATTTCCCTTCTCTATTCGAAAAATAGTAACCTCTATTTGTACTGAGTATTTTTGAGATTAATCTATGTCATACAACTCTTACATAATTCTGATGTTGTAAAGGGAACTAAAACTCAAATAGCCAACAGTAATTTTATAGCAATATTAACTATCCAATCAAAATGCATTGAGAAGCAAAACTAACTCAGTCTGAACTAAGATTTCACCCTAAACATAATGCACTTGCTTTCTACGCTTTCGGCTATCTTGACTGCAGTCTGTCTCCTCCTTCTAATCTTACGGCAAATTTATCTAAAATGTAAACTTTTTGGAATAGATACATTTAATGTGCCAACTTGTTTGTGACTGCAACATGATTGATTACTGAAATAAAGTTGAATTAAATATACCTTGACTGCAAATTTCTTATTCATTGTGAATCGGCGTTTCACCATTCTACAAAATCAAAATTCTAGCTGTTCATTACGGATTCAATCGCCTGCATTCTATGACAGAATCTATTACACACATATATATAAAATATAATTTATTATTAGAAAGGTTATTATTATGTTTATTACTTTGCAGCTTTAGCTTATTAATTTAATTGTAATTACTTTTATTTGGAATTTATATTAAATATATATATATATTTCCAAACCTAAAGCCTGATGGATTAACATGTTTGTTCAATTTATAAATTTATAAGTTAACAATAGCACAGACTTACCGGGAACTAAAATGTCACCAAATCCCAAAAGTGAATACTGCCGAAAACAAACAGCAAGAGGGTCAAAGCCAAAATAATCCACTCGCAATACCATAGGCAGCTAGAGATTTTTTTTAATATTATATTACATATATATTTTGATACATCAGAAAAATATACAATATGAGAAATGTTTAATGAAATATATCTGAGAATGAGCATGCGTTTAGACAAAAGGTAATTGTTTTCCGATTACAAAACTTTTACTTGAAATTATTTAATAGGAATGACAGCCAGTTCTATGAAAGGCAATTTCATAATTCTCAATTAAGTAAATATTTATTCAGAACTAGATGCAAAACTTCACGAGTTTCATTTCACCCATTTATCAAAAATATCCAAATTCAACATTTCAATTCAATATGGAAGAACTTTAAATAAAAATAATTCCTATCTATGTTACACATGTGAAAAACTTATACGCACTCAAAATGCAAATATTTAGATGGGATTCACATATTTGAATCTTTAACCAGTATTAATTTAAAATGTTAAGATAAATGAACGTTTGAAAAGTGGCTGATGTGTATCTGAAAACAGCTCCAAAACATAACCACCTTATGTTACAGACGACAAGATGCACTTTTATGCTTTGAAAAACTGATCTCGAAAAAATAAGAGAATTTCAAAGCATATATCTAAATATACAATTCTTAGGGAAATATAAAAAGAAGCATCTAGTATGAAATGTTTTGTAAGTAATGTAATTGAAGTATACAGATCATTAAGTTTTTGAAAAGAATAATTAAAGCAATCATGCAATAAACAATAATATTAAGGCAAATGACAGTGCAAAAATTACTGAAAATGAGACTGATAGTGTTGTTTGAAATTAAGATAATAATAACAATCAAACTAAACTATCAATTAAAGGAATTAATTAACAATCATGATTCTAAAATAATCATTACATCATAAAATTAAATTTCTTAAAATAATAACAAAAGTTTCAAATAATCTGTGCCATATATTATTCAATAAGCAAAATGCTGATTCAAAATCCATCACTGCTCTCCAGACAAGATTCCAATAAGCAGTTTCATTGGATACCAGCAAGCTAAGTCACAAGCAACTCATTCACTATGGTGTTCATGAGCACTTCTTCTGACTCAGGTACTACCAGTAAAATATTTGTGACTAAGTTTCCCAGTGTAGACAAGGTGGTAATGTACTGGAGGAATTGGGATAATTTTGTTCGACAGCCTGGTATTGACACAGTGTCAAAACTCCCAGATCATTTAACTGATATCTAATTAAATTTAGTCTTAAGGATCACAAAAAATTCTATAAAAAATTCATTTATTATTGAAGAGCATTTTAAAGAAACTGAACTTTTTTTTTCATTTCCTTATTTAAGATGGTAAAGTCTTGACTTAAAAAGAAGTCTTATTATGTTTTCATTATAATAAATTCAATTACTTAATAATAAATATATAATTAAATAATGATTTAGCAGTATGCAATTTACATATATTTAATTCCTAACTGTGTTTATATGCAAATAAAAAGATTATGAAACTAAATGTAATTTTATATCTTTTGCGATATAACAATCGAAATGTTACAAATCAAGATATCAAAATAAAACACATTAAAATTATTTTTTAATATATAATACTGACTAATTTACAGTTCACACTCAAATAAATGTCATTAACTTTGAAAACTTGGGGATAAATAATTAGATATAGAGAAACTTTACCATTTCTTCAGACTTCCCACCTGTAGCCACTTCTTCCATAATGCTTTGTCCTTTCTGGTCAAAAGAAAATATTGACTACAGGATTTTACAAAACAAACTGATATTTATTTCAGTGATAAACATAATTCATGATACTTACCATAGTTAAAAATGGAGTAATGAAAACGAAAAAAATGTCATAGAAGAAAAGTAACACTAGAAGAACAGTACATATCTGAAAGAAACAGATATTTAAGAGAAAAGTAAAATCTGCTGAACAAGATTTTAAAATGCACATTACTATAAAAGTAGTTTCATAAACACTTTATTTTAAAATTATTTATACAGAAATCTATCAATATTTTTTTTAACAAGAACTACTGTTAACAAACAAATTTCATAAACTAATATATTCTTAAACTTTAAGAAACTTTTGTAAAAATGTCACTGCATTTTAATCCTTACTTTTAAACTTGGCAGCCTGATTGACTTTAACATGTTTATGCAAAATGCAACACCTAAAATGTCTTGCAATATCCAAGCATACCTAAAGCATAATTTATAATTAGAATGTAATTTACACAATTATTTACAGAAATCATATATTTAAATTTAATATTTTTTTTTTACTCACTTCTGCTTTCTTATCACAACCCAACATATAGAAATAGCCATTGAAAAAGCTATTAATGAAACCTGTCTCAAATCAATTTTGTATGATGTATGTCCACATTTCAAATCAAAAAACCTAAAACATAATTTTTTTTTTTTTAAGTTCTCTCAAATATTCACTACAGTGAAAATTAATTTTATATTTCAACTAATTGAAAATTTTACACATTAAAAGATGACAAAACTATAAATACAAGATTACACTAAATTATATATAAACTATTAAAAAAAAAAAAAAAAAAAAAAAAAAAAAAAAAAAAAAAGAGGATGACCCATTTTAAAACTAAAGTCCCTGATCCTAACTTAAATTTAGCTATGTCCCCTTTCAAAGAATCTGTACTGCATCACTTACATCATTATTTCATCTACAATACTGTGGCATTCTTGCCCAATCATCAATCAAAGCTGAAACAAAGGAGCCGAGATTATAAATACCCCAGCTGTTCAGTATGCAGTTAACTTTTCTACCCTGCTCTTTCCCTTCATAAGCATATAATTAATTACTTTGCTGCTTCCATTACATTGTTTGAAGATGTCATACACATATATAAAACAGTGAAGTGCTTAGAGCACCCATAGTGTTGTGTAAACCAAGAAGAGGTGTCTTAAGATATGTGCAAGAAATTATTCATCAGAAATATAAAATGATGTTGCAACTATCAAGCTAGTTGTGCTTTCTGAAGTTATTGTCATCTAACGCACAACCTGTAAGCTTGCCACATTTATTAATCTGGCCATGACCAAAAAGTTAATGGGTGCCTTTTCTTATTCACAACTAAATCCCACACGCACTCATATATCTGTAAAAGATAAAACTTGAAAGACACTTAATTGACATTAGACCTTTAAATTTCTAATTTTCAATTAAAGTACAAACACTTCAAAGCATCTGCACCTTCCCTGCCCTAACCACAGTGTAAAAAAACTCTTGCCCATTCACAGTGCCAAATTAAAACAAAATGTTTTGCCATTATAAATACTCCAGCCACAATACATGTATTCACTTTTGCTGCCTACACTTATTAGCTAAAGGACATCTCTCGACTGCTTCTATTCATTATTAAAAATGTAATATGTTATATTAAAATTATGAGATGCAGATTATCCCCATTATGCTGTGCCATGCCACGAGTCTGAATAGAGTAATCAACAAGTAATAAAGATACATTGTTCAAATTATCAAGTAAGTTCTTCAAAAGTTAGATCTGGTAAGATGCCACCAGTATGTTTGCCATTTTGTAGTGATATAAAATGTAGTAACTTCCAGCCATAAGTTTTAGCAAATGGTTCTACTAAATTCTCTTCTCAGACCAATTTATAATTACACACAAACACATATATATTATTACATATATATATATATATGCATATTACTTTGTTTACCCAAAAACTAAATAATTTCTTACTTTAAAATACTTTTCTTTTAACATATCCCTTTTCCCTTTAATCAATAACATTACTAAATAAACATATTTAAAGAAAGAATATGCATTTGTTTTGAATTTGGTTGGTGCCAGGATGGAAAGCAGAGACTTTCCTTGGATTCTGGTGCAGCTGTTATTCAATCATAACATCGGAATCAGCAATCCACTCGGCAGACGTGTTAATAATAAATGAAGACAATCCAAACAAGTTTTCACCACACTGGTTTCCAAGAAAAACTGTTTTGTAATAAAACTATTTTCCCCTCCTTTCTCCTTGGAGCATTCACATAGTTCAAGCTTTCTCTTTTCATTCATAGTATGATTTGGAATTTGTGGTAGTTAACAAGTAGCGTGCTTGAAATGGGAAAATACAGCTATACAGCGGCTTTTAAATTGAAAGTCATAGAATTTGCACAGGAAAATGGAAAAAGAGCAGCAGCAAGATTATATAAGGTGGATGAAAAGTGTGTGCGCAACTGGAGCAAACAAAGTGATCAAATGGTGGCAACGAACAAAACAAGATGTGCATTTCATGGTTC